CTGCTAGTGCAACATGTAGCTAAATGACTTTATTAAGCACTACTTTGGATACAGAACTTACTGTGATATCCCCTGGGAACTCCTCAGTGCCCAGGGGAGGGCAGGAGGGTGGTTTTGCTCCCACGTGCCAGGACTTTCCACCTCCCATGCATGAGCTGAACAGAACTTTCTTGGGATATGTAAAGGGTACCCCTGGAAACCCAACTACAAGAAGATTCAGCTTCTTGAACTAGGGGAGGATAGGATGCACTACAACCCGTTTTTATCAGTTGCACTTGTGATATTTTTACATTTCTATGCCACCTTTATCTTCCAAGGATATCAAGGTGGTGTACATAGTTATCCTTCTCCCCATTTCATCCTCACAACGTCCCTGTGAGCTAAGAGATGGTGACTGGCCTAAGTTCACCCAATAAACGTCATGGCTGAATGGGGATTTGAACCCTTTTCTCCCATGTCCTAGTCCAACACTCTTGCCATTACACCACACTGGCCACACATTGAGTTCCTCGTGGTTTCTCATCCAAGGGTCTGCTTAGCTTCAGCAATGGATGCTGCATGTCACATGCTCCAAGGCCATTTGGTAGGGCACAGCTAGCCACATCTTAATGAAGCGCATTGTCAGCCATGCGCACTACCCCTTGTGGGCATTGTTACCTCTTGATTGATCCCAGCATGCTTACCACTGCTACTAAAACTTTCATTTGTTGCCAAGTATATGCTAATTGCTGTAGTTAGTATCATTTTTAATTAAGTACAAGTAATTAAAAAAACCTGACTATCTTACATTAACCATTAAGACACTCCACACAGCCAATTCTGCATCATGTGCATTTTGCACTTAGTGGTGCATCAGGGTTGTAAGGTGATCAAAAGTACTCTGGCATAATCAAAGGAAGCTTATCATCCTGTGCCTCTCACTTTACCATTTGCTTGTCCTGCACTGATAGGTTATACGCATGGCCCCAAGAATGCTGAATGGATGCATATGTTTTAACCTACAAGACACAGAAGTTATAGCTGAATATTCTAGCTGCCGTGCTGACCACACAATCTATGCTTTTCCTGAACCAGCGTTGTTGACCTGCAGAAATTAGGTGCACAGTACAATCCCATCAGTCCCACACCCCAGTTGACCTTTGCAGATATACCCTAAGAATTGTACTGGGTTGCCTGATGTCAAGGGCGTCCCCCGACCAAAGAAATACACGCAGCAGATAGTTAACTCACTATTGTCAAAGATAACATAGCCATTTCTGCAGCTCTGGAAAACTACACACATCAATCTAGTATCGTCAAGTATTCCCAGGTCTGCACTCTATGGAGCAGTTGCAGCAACAGGGGACCATTTTCTCTCCATCAGTTTATTTGCATTCCCCTGATGGGCTGCGCACACGCACCCACAGACTATGCCTACATAAAAACTTCCTCTGCTCATCCTTTTTCAATCCACTGCTGGTTCTGGGAGAGAGTGGTGCATAAGAAAGTGAGGAAGCACTTGGCCCTCACTTGCCTGACTTGCCTCTTTTTCCTCTTCTTCCAACCAGTCCTGTGCTCCACCTTGCATCTCTGAAGCTTCCCCTGCCTCCAACCTTTGCCTCCTAGCCAGTATAGGTCCCCCTCTTCTGAGTCAGACTCCAGTTGCTCTTTCTCTGGAGTACATTCATCAGTATCCTTCAAGTCTTCAACATCTAATCACAGGTGCAGTTTGTGAGTTTGGACCTGTTGCACCAAAAACCAGGTGAAGTCATGCCAAGGTAACATTTTGGTTCACTGTTTTGATCCAAAATGGCACCAGGCATACAAACATTAATAAAGACACCTCTCTCTCTCTCTCTCTCTCTCACACACACACACACACACACACACACAAACACCCCTTGAGAACCCTTATGTTATGTTTGATGACAATCTCTCAAGAGGTGGCCAAGCCAAAGTCACATTTTGGTCCACCATCGTGATTCAAAATAGTGCCTGGTGTCCAAATGGCAGTGAAGTCTTCCACTTCCACCTCAGAAATTCTCATGCCAAATTTAGCAACAATATATTGAGAGGGGGCCAAACCTATGCCCTAAAAGGGGCAAAGTACTGCCAAAGCGATGTTTTGGGTCGCCATCTTGGGAACCTTCATGTCAAGTTTGGTGATGGTATCTCAAGAGGCATCCAGACACATAGACAAACAAACCACTTTCAAAAATATGTTGCCTTGCATGTATGTACCACCCAATCCAGTCTGGAGTTGGTATGGGAATATGAACTTTAAAAGAAAATAGCCTAAATTCCCCCTCTTATTAACCCAGAACAGAGAGAACAGGCTCTGGGGTGGGGGAGAGCATAGAACAGATTATGCCTGAAAGGTGAAAACAAGGACTGCCTGCTTGCTTAGGAAAGCTTTACGTTCCTGATGTATGGATCTGTTACCTGCTTCTTTAGGAACAGCATCTGTCACTTTTAATGAGAGATTGGTTTTTTTTAAAAAAATGCCACCCAAAACAAACAAACAGAAATCCCTGACACCTGTTAAAAGACCTCCTTTCTTCTTGAATCAGCACTTGGCTTGCAAGAGGTGTGTACTATCAGAGGCCTTTCATGTATAAGCAGCAATGACCTGATGACTGTGATCTGAAGACTCATATTGCATCGCACAACAAAACACTTTGTAGAAAAGACAAGTTCCTTCTTCCAACAGATCTCTGGCCTTTTCTCCCTTTTTGTTTTTGACGGGAGGAACCAATAATAAATCGCAAAGGCTCCTCTGACAGGGATTTTATCCTTCTTCTTCTTCTTTCCAAAGGTGGATGAGCTCAAGTGACAAGTACAATCTTTCTTCTGATGACACTGCATCCTCATTATAATACCAGTGAAGTCTGTGCAACAATCATTCCCAGCTGAATCAGGCTTATTCAGAGCCTTTTTCATGGTACCTACAAGGGAGGTACCGTTTGGCTCAATGGACTGCATGGCAGATGATGAAGCAGCGGTCCAGGGCCCTGCTCACATCTTGTCTGAGGTAATTTACACATTGCACATAGCAGTGGGTCTAGCCAGCACACAGGGGACCCTGCTAATTGCCATATATACCGGTTTATATGTGTGTGTGTGTATATATACACACACACATATATATATACACACAGAGAGAGAGAGAGAGAGCAGATACATCCAGCCTTGAAATTTGGGGATTTAAAGTATTATAATATTCTTGCCTAACAACCAGGCCTGTGTGCGTATAGGAACAGAATGACTTATAAGAATGTGGTACATACAAAAATGTGGTATTTCTCCCTGACTAGAAGATGCAGAATAGTGTATGGAAATCTACATCCCTATAGGGGCATAATTCTGATTCATATTTTCTTTTGTATATCAGAAAGTCAATCCTTAAAAAACTGGGGTTAGAAATAGCAAAGGCCACAGTGGCTTTATATTTTTTTCATTCTGCCCCCCCCCCCCCATGTCTTCTTTATCCAAAATATGACTATGGAGCACATTTGCCTTTAGAAAATGCAGTGGCAATGCCCATTAATTTATAGACACATTCATGAGGACTAGAAACTTGATTTAACAACAACAGAACAGACTCTCAGGATGGTAAAAGAGAAGAAGAGCTGTCTGAACTGTAAGAGCTGTAAGAGCTGTCTGACAGTGCAACAAACTGTTTTGGGAGGTGGTGGGCTCTCCTTTGCTGGAGACAACTAAGCCGAGGATGGATGGCTATCTGTTAGGAATACTATAGCTGCATCCTGAACCACTGATCCTGTATTGAGCAGAGGATTTGGATTAGATGACTCTATGCTTCTATAGCAACCATATAAATCCCGCCTCAGACAGCATGTCTCCAAGCTGTGCATTTCTCCCAGGAAGAATACCAAGGAACACAATTGTGCATCCCCCTACAAGTTAATTCCCCAACCCTCAGCACACCTAATGGAATAGCCCAGTAATGGAGAAGCTTTTTGGACAGAGGGTAGGAAAAGGGAAGATGACCCATATTTTCTGGAGCCTTTTTAGCACTCAGAAATTATTGTAAAACTAAGAAGTGGTCTACTCCTGGGAAACCACACTTACGCCATCTCACTTGCAACCTGCATCGGTTTAAAGCATCTCGTTGGCAATTTGAAAATAATAAAAGGTGCACATTAAAATGGCAGCTCATAAAATACATTAAAAAGGCAGGGGGAGGGCACAACATGATTTGGGGAATCTTTTGTACAGAAAAATGGATGTGGGGGAAAGAGTCACAAAACCTCCCCTCTCTCCCTCTGTATGCAAGTTCACTGCCTCCGATTACATTTGCAAAAGTACACCTTGATGATAAAAAGCATCAAAAAGCAACTTAAAAGCATAATTTTCTTTATAGGCATTTCACTTCAGAGTTCTTCCTAAGGGGATCGAAGTAGAAAATTTAAAACACACACACACAAATGCACCTCACACATTTCTAATGTACAGGTAGGCTAACTTGGAGAACAACCTTTAAGCAACAACTACCTTAATTCATCCTCTCAGGAGAGGCAAAATCTTCCTTCTGTCATTAAAGCATAGCAGCACACATTTAAAGAATGTGGCACTGTCAATTCAAGACTATAGAAAGCTTCAATTAAAAGGCCATTTTTCCTGGTCACAGCAGAACAGGATGTAAGATGTGTGAGAATTCTCACATACACAGGAGAATACAGAGCATTCATATGGGGTGCAAGCCTACCTATGCAAACGGATCCCTCTACCTAAAGGACCCTTTTTTCCCCATATAAGCTTGCTGCGGACTCTAAGATCATCCATCATTTGAGACCCTTCTTTATGTGCCAGCAAGAGAACAGGCCCTCTCTGTAGAAGCCCCACATTTATGGTATGCTCTGCCCAGGGAGGGTTGCCTAGGACCAACCCTGTCATCATTCCAGGATCAGGCCAAGGCAGTTTTGCTTTCCCAAGACTTTGGACAGCACCAATGATTATATTATACAGTTAAATCTCTTTTTAATGTGTTTTTGTAATTGCATTGTGTGTGTGTGTGTGTGTGTGTGTGTGTGTACACATGCATGCACACACACACACACACACACACACACACACACGGATTCAGGACCTTTTAGTGGGACACAATACACAAATTTAATAAACCTAACGGTGTGAGAATTCGGGCTTACTTGAATGTGGAAGGAGTACTGAGATATTCTATGTGTTTATGCCCTGTCCCTTTATTCATGCTCATCCTCCACCCAGCCACTCTTGAGATTCACCAAGAACTACCCACTCATGTTCAAGCCTAAATTCAGAGCCATAAAATGCATCTTTGCAAGCATGAGAGCTAGGAACTTGTTATTTTAAATACAAGATTTTGAAACCAAGCTTTCCAGGGTGCTGAAGAATGTGTCCAATGTAACGAACTATACCAGCATGGTACAACAGAAGAAATGTAGGACACATGCAGCATTGGGTATTACCATCTAGGTGTCTGGGCTGGGGACTATGATAGGTTTGATTGGAGAGAATGGGTGGGGGTAAAGATTATTCATAAAGTTTGCTCCAATCGAAATAGTACGGTCTGCTTCAAGCTGAAATTCCCTGCATTTGCATTTCCACACGCTCCTATGTGGTGGCATAAAGCCTGCTCCGCTGCTCTTAGCTTTTGAGCAAATTACAATTAGCTATTGTAATCAGTCCTTAATGGTTTAATTCTCCTGAGTCACAGGGAGGTAAAGGAAAATTACACAAGAGAAATATTGGGGACAATGTCAGCTTATCCAAAAACAAAGGCACTGGCTGAATAGCAATCCTCAAAAAGCCAGTCAAGGCCACGCAGGTATGCAAAGGAAAAAGAGCAACGCTCCATCCTCAAGTTGTACCCAGCCTTGTCGCTTTGAACTGTGGCATTCTCCTGGCTGATAATCCAAAATATTTTCAGGCCTCTTTTGCCCAAAGGGAGCTTTTTCACAAACAGCAGTCGACTCCAGCAGCAAACATATGTTTTGCTGCCTATCACAGTCATTCTTGGTGACTGTCTCCTTTCTATGCTGCTATATGAACACACAAAGCTGGTTTCTATAAGGTCAGACCACTGGTTCAGTCTGCTCTGGCTGGCAGCAGGTCTACAAAGTCTCAAGCAGGTCCTTTCACCAATTCTGTTATCGGAGAACCTTTTAATTGGAGCTGATGAAGATTCAAACTGGGACCACCTAGATCTAAAGTGTGTGTGTGTTATTACTACAGTACAATCCATCTAACCAACTATAGTCTACGCAAGACTTCCCCGAACTGGCATTTTGGATTGCAACTCCTGTTAGTCCCACCTACGATGGCCGATGGCCACACACACCACTGCCAAGCGATAGCAAGATTCCAGGGTGATTCCAGGCGCTCACCCAGGGTTGTGTTTCTCTTGGGAAATCAAGGTGCAGCAGAGTCTACAGTGTCTTAGAAACATGGTTTACTCACATATATTTACACCTAAAGCCTTCAGTGGAGGAGTTGCAGAACATTATGCTTCAACAGTATCTCACATTGCTCCTTTCATAGCTTCAGCAAGCTTGGGTCCAAACCACACATGACTCCCTGAGGCACAATGGATCTGTGTGTCCAGCTGTTAACCAGAAGGTTGGTTGTTCAAGCCCACCCAGGGATGGCTGTGGGCAGGGTTCCTGCGTTATGAAGGGTTGGAGTAGATGACCCTCAGAGACCCGTCAAACTGTACAGTTCTATAAGTTTATGATTCTCCTGTGGGGAAGGAGGAAGCACCATAGCAAATTCAGTGACTCTGAAATATTATTTGGGTTTTTTATGGAAACAGTCAACCATCTGGGTTAAGTCATTACTACAATGAAGCAGAAAGAAGAGGCAGGAAAAGGAAAAGATTTTTTTTTTAAAAAAAAAAGCCACTGCATCAAGCATCATTAAAGCTCATCAAAAGTGCATTAGAGAACACCTGATAATATACTCCAAGCATTAATGATCTTTACAGTGTACCACATTAATGCAGATGTTGTCATGTGAATTCAATGAAACTGGGGTTTGCCCACTCAGGCAGACATATTCAAAAAGTAGACCTATTTAAAATGCCATCTCAAATTAATCCACGGTTGGTGGCTTCTGTGTGAGAGCAACATTTCCACAACATGGAATATCTGATCCAACAATATATCAGAAAATGAAAATCAAAGATTGCACAAGCCTGAAGTCTACCCACCCCTGAACTAACCAACTAAATTGACTATAAACAATGGAAACCTGTTGATTCTTAGTGGAGGAATAGCATAAGAATTAACTGCTAAGAGTGTTCAAGGTTCCTCACACACAATGATCTCAATAATCCATAGGCTGTTCCATGATGTAGGCCAGCATTACTATCCCCATATGTGTGTGGCAGAGAGAGCAGCACCTCAGACTGAGAGATTGTGGCTTGCCTAAGACCACTTGCTAAGTTTCCAGCAGAAGAGAAATGTGAAACAAAGACTTCCTGGTTCCTATCACAGTGCTCATCCACACTTCCGCTTGTCCCAGGATTGCTAGGCATGGGTCTGAGATGGGTTTTCTTTCGTCCCATCACTTTCTCTGGGGAAACCCGCTGTTTACAGCTGAATCAGAACCAATGTCAATCAGGTTTTCTGTGGATTGATGTTTGTTCTAATTCAGCCGTAAACAGTGGGTATCTCTTTTACCATTCACCAGCCCACAAGAGCAGGACCTCTCCCCACAACCAGGTCCAGTATTGGCACCCAGCATCCTTGAACAGTTGACAGGCTCCAATGCCCCACTAGGGGCCACTGCTCATGCCTGTTTTGGATCTCCCCTGTTCTGGTGAGTATACTGAGAAGCTTTTAGGTGTCATTAAAATTTTACTGGTATTAGCTCCAAGTAACCCAACACTCATTCCAGCACCGCTACTGTTGTCTGCTACTAATACATAGGAGGAGCCCAACTGCATCAAGCCAAGAGCCCAACTAGTCCACCATCCTGTACTCATAGTAGCCAACCAGATGCCCCTTGGAAGCCCTGAGTGCAACCAAGTTCTCCCCACTAGTGATTCCCAGCAACCTACTGCTTTGGACTCTGCAGGTAGAACATAGCCAACACGGCCAGTAGCCATCTGTATCAATTAAATAGATGCAACTATCACAGGTTTTGTGCTATAGGCATTTGCCTCTGCAAAGTGCTTTATAGTTCTTAGTTCTCCATCTCTCACAACCTCTTTGTGAAGTAGATCATTCATGACCCCATTTTTGCAGATGCGAGATGAAGATCAGAATGATCTGCACAAAGGCCACTGAGGGGTCCTTTTTATGGTTAAGTTCTTAACTGCACCAAAACTGGCACTCAAGATACATTATGGAGGATTTTGTGAATTTAAGTCAAGATCCACAGAATGCACAGCAGACTCCACAGCCCACAGTGCAGATTGAATTTACCCGGGCACAAATGCTTAAGTGACAGGGACAATGAAGCATAAAATCTGAGCTGCTCTTCTCAAAGTTTCCCATAACAACCACACTATTAAAAAAAAATACACTCCTTTTATTGGGATGCTTTTTACACACAAATACTAGAACAGTCCCTAAAGTCCCTAAAGAATATGTTTCTTTAAAAATAAAATAAAATCATGGCTAAGATTCCACAGTTCCTCAGAACAGTTTACAGAAATATACAAAGGTGCCACCAAGAAAAGTGAGAATTATTGCTACTGGAGAGCAGGCAGTCTGAATATTTTCAAGCACCCTCTCCAAGTCTGCTTTTTCTGCCACATGGGACATAACCCCACAAAGTATGAAAGCATTCCAAAATTAAGTTATCCTGTTTCAAAGACAGATCTATTATCACCAGAGAAAATGAATCCTTCATTTCTAAAAGCTCAATAATGGAAACTTAAAAAAAAAAAATTAACATGCTGTCTGTGCCATGAGGAATAGCACTATTAAACTATTGTCTTCTATTTAAAAATATGTTTTTCTGCAAACCTAATACACGCTGGGACACTGGAGTACATTTCTATTTCACTCGTGTAAGGTCGATAGAAACTCCACTGAATGGATGGCAGCAACTAGATGACCCTAAGCCAAATTTATGTCTCTTAAAGGGGCAGCTCCCCTCACCCCCCAAACCCCCAGTTAAAGATAAAAGATGGATAGGCAGAGTGGAATCAATGGCAACAGAACTTACAGACAGACACTGCTGGAGGGGAGAAGGCAGCTTGGAATGCTGGCCAACCGCTCCCCATTCAGTTTTTCAAATGCCCTTCCAGGAAACCTAGCTGCTGACCAGAGCCATTAAAAAGCAGCCCAGTTTGATCATCACAACCCCCTAAATCCCCAATAAAATTCAACCCCAAGCACCTTACTGCTGGTATCTCGGTTCACGCTTAGAGAAAAGGAGCTGCATCTTAGCAGCTGCAGGGTGGTAAGCCTGCCATCTTGCACCATCTTTGGCAAAGGGAGCTGTACCGCAGTGGCATAGTCTCTGCTTTGCATGAATAAGGTCCCAGGTTCAATCTCTGGCAACTCTGGGTAGGGCTGGGAGAGACTCCCTTTCTGAAACTTCAGAGAGACACCGAATCAGGGCTTATCCAGACTTACCTTTCCTCCGCTCTTTCCGGGCATGGTCCGTGCTTTAAAACCATGTCTGAGCACATTTTGGTGTTTTTTTGCTCCAGAGCTTTGCCTGTCCCTGCAAAAAAACTGCTCTTTCAAGCTCAGCCAGAGCAAATGGCAATCCACTGAAAACCCGAATTGGCATTTGCTCTGATTGAGTGCTAAAGAGGGGGTTTTCGTGGGGAAAGTTCTGAGGCAAAAACAAGCAAGCACTTGGGCACAGAGCTTTTTAGTGTGGTCCCCGGCCTGGAAAGAGTAGGGCAAAATGTAAGTGTCTAGACAATACTGAGAGGGTCTAACTCTGTGTAAGGCAGCTTCCTATTTCCCTATGGGCTAGCCAAATATCACCTTTGGCCATTCACAGAAAAATGGCAAATCTAAGGCTAGTCATCACTTGCTTATCTTTCTTTTTTAATTATTGAATTGCTTGTTTGTGCCAATCTTTCCATTGATATATAATTTTATGGTATTACTCAGAAAAAAGTGGTTTTATGAGCCATCATTGCCAAAACAAGATGACACCTGATTGACTCTCTAAACACTCCTTTTTCTGGTTATTTGACTATAACATTTGATAGAATACAGATAATTGAACAAACTTTGTTGCATTACATTCTTCATTAAATTAACTTTCCACTGATATATAATTTACTCCAAAAAAGGGGTGTTATGTGCCATCCAATCTTTGAAATACAATTTCTCCAAAAGGTTTCCACAATTTTTGGCTACTAGTGTATACTACCTTGCTATCCATTAAGGATGGTCTAGAAATATATATTTTAAAATGAATGAATGAATGAATGAATGGCTTATTGTAAGCCACCGCCTGTACATTTGGATCCAAATACAAGGTATAAATCCAACAAATAAATAACCAAACAAATTGCAAGTTAGATAATTTGGGTAATGACATTTCCTTGCTTGATAGCCCTAATATATGTCCAAGGACACAACCAGAGCAATTTATTCGCCCAATCTGGAAGTTCTGCTTGTCAAGGGAAGCCTTTTGAGCTCTGCTTCTGAAAACTTAAATGGCAGGGACAGAAGGCATGCATTAGTGCCCGAAAAAAGCCTCATTGTCACCAGATTCCCCCCCCCCGCCGCCGCCGCCCCCTTGCAAAACAAACGTGCCTAGTTTTCACAGACAAGACCATCAGTTATTTGTACCTACCAGCTTTGATGATAATTGCAACCCACTTGACACTTGTGTTGAAAGGTAGTTTTACCAGCAAGGAAACTGATAAATATTCAACGGAACGGGATTAAATTATTCTATTTACCTTCAAGCTACTCGCCATGAAAGTGTTTCAAAATATTTGTGTATGTATAAAGAGACTGGGATTGAAAACGGGCGGATGGGGGGAAAGGAGCTGCCTCTTTTAAAAAAACTGAAATGCCTAGATCACCAAGTTAATGAATCAAAACTTTTGTTTTGTTTTGATACAACTATTTTTCAAGTTTCATGAAATAATGCCATATATGCAAAAATTCTGATCCCACATTACAAAATAATTACATGATAATTACAGGCGCATTAAGATGTCTACCCCCTGAGTAAAGCTTCTGCACCCAACCGCTAACTGAGGCAGCCCCGGAATGTTTCAGCTTATTAAGGAGAATTCCAGCATTGAGCAAAACCTCCAACTAAAGCAGATTTCGACTCTGTGACTCCTCTGATTTCTAATTAATTTTTTTAAAAGAAGCTCCATTCTTCTGAAACCCAATTATACATGGGCATTAGCCTCCAAACAAACTTCTCGTAGACTAACCTACTTCTTGCAAATACACTGGTGTCTTTCTGCACAATTTCACTGACACAAGCCGACCTTCAAAATTGGCGTGATTGGGTTGATAGTTTTTTTATTGTCTCTCCCCAATAATCCAGCCTCAAACAATAAAATTGTGAAAATTCATACAGGCAAATTAGCATGTTAACAGAACGGATTAGTGACCTTTCCACTTCCTTCTTCCTTAGTCAGCTGCACTCAACCAGTTGACGATGAAACAATGAGCTTGGTGGCCTACATGTTTCAAGCTGGAACAAGACGCTACAGAGCCTGTTTTGTGGCTGGTGCCCAGACAATAGCAGCCCTAACATTTCCTCTTTCCTTTCTCTGCATCTGGATAACAAGAGAATTTTAAAAAATAACCTTCTGACAGTGCATCACAAGCCTGTCTGCTCCCAAATAGACAACCAGTGGGAGGGGCAGGGAAATCTTAACATGGTGATGCCTTGTGATGCATTTGGGGGTAGACTGTTCTCACAGTGGCCAACCAGATGCCTATGGGAAGCTCAAAAACAGGACCTGAGCACAACAGCACTCTTTTAGAATAAGCCAAAAAGGCGGTGTCCAAGCCATAGACAGTATTACTAGGAGCCGACTCTGGGACCTTTTGCATGTGAAGCATGTGCTTTACAACTGAGTTACAGCCCTGGGATGACTTAATTCCCTCCTCCCTTCATGGACCTCCTGCATTGCAGAGGGTTGGACTAGATGACCCACAGGGTCCCTTCCAATTCTAGAATTCTTCTGCAGACTCATTCCCTTCTTTCTTTCAGTTATTCGAGGGTTTTGTTTTGGGGGTGGGGATAGGAGCAGGGATACCAAATTCCCTGAAAATTCAAGAAAAATAAATTCTGTAGAACTGTAGATCTCGGTTTTGTTGAACTGTTAAAGCGTTGTTGTTGTTTCAATTAAAAGAGGAAGAAGGAGACGTAACATTTGCACTACAGGAAGCCATTCCATCCAAACACAAAGAAACGTCGACCTCACAAATGAGAAAAGAGAAACAAAATATTCAAAGGGCTGAACTGCTAACCCAATGCAACTCTTGTCACCAACTAACTCTCCAACAAAATCAGAAATGAGTTCCACTCGACTCAATGGAAAGACTCAGCGAAGCCAAATTGGTGCAAATTAACAGGAAGCCAATGCTACGGTGTCTGTTGGAGCCGCTTCCTGGCTCTGTGGCGTTTCACTCTGGGTAAACAGATTTTACAGTCAATTTATAAGAGCAGGAAATAATATGAATAGTGACGGCTTCATAGCCGGAATGGCACTAGCAGGGGTTGCTCAAATACCCAGTCATCTAACCAAATCACAGCGGAAGATAAGTCCAGACTATAAACACAATTTTTGACAATCATTCCTACAGGATTCAGCATCACGGCAGTTCATGCGTAAAGCCCACACATGTATCCAATGGGTAGTTCATGGATTCTAGTGACTTACAGCTATCCGTCCATCATCCTTCCTTCCATTGCCTCGAGCAAGCACAGCTGGACCTCAAGGTGCCAGATTAGGGGAAACGGAAAAGGCTCTGCTCCATCTGCCCCTCCCTCCTCTGGGAATAAGAAGCGATTGCCTTTCCCAACTAACCTTGATATGTGAGCTTACCCACACACGGAGACGTGAGTCAAGCTTCGTGGGTTTTGATTATTCCCCACAATACAGCCATTACAAAAATGTGTTATTGCAGAGATCAGTTGCTGCCTAATTTTGTGGGGGGGGGGGATTTTCTAAAACAAGAGAAACAGAGATATACCAAGGCAATATGGGATATTTAATGTAAAGGCAAGCAACCAGTGGCTCAGCATCTTAAGAGGCGGGGAGTGGCATAAATGAGAACTAATGTGATATAGGAGCATTTGACTTAGACTTAGGAGACCCAAGTTCAAATCTCACACTCAGCCCTTAAAACTCACTGGGTGCTCTTCGTCCACTTGCATGCCATCACCACCCCCTCTCTCAGACTAACCTGCCTCACAGGATTGTTGTGAGGATAAAATGCAGAGTGGGAGAATGATGTGCGCTGCTCTGAGCTCTTTGGAGGAAGGGTAGAATTAAACGTGGTAAACAAAATACATCACCTATTTTGGGCTTGTGGTGGACTCTACTTCACTGGAGGTTTTTAAACAGAGACCTGTCACATAATATTTAACTCTGATTCCTGCACTGCGGGGGGTTGGACTAGATGACCCTTGGGTCCCCTTCCAACTCTACAATTCTATTACTTTAGTTATTTGCCTAACACGGGGCAGTCTCCAGGCAACTTATGAGTTAATTTAAAAACACATGAAACTGTCAATATAACAACCATCAAAATTTAAATAATCAACACATTTTTTAAAAAAGAACTTTTACATGGGGAGGGGGATTAGTAGCAGCCCTCTATCCTTAAAGCCTTGACTTGACTGGATCAAATTCCATCAGTTGCCTGGGTAAAGAGGAAAGTCTTAACTACGTGCTGAAAAGATGTCAATATTGGTGCCAGGCAGGCAACACTCGGGAGAGTGCTCTTTAGGAGAGGGGCTCCAAACAAAAAATGCCTTTTCTGTTGTTGCCACCCTGAAAATAGGGAAGAGGGGCTCAGATGATGCCTCTAAAGTCCAGCTATATATATTCACTGGGAGAGGTAGTCAGTCCAGTGTTGTGGAAACTACTAAAACAGTACAGTGGTACCTTGGGTTACAGACGCTTCAGGTTACAGTCTCCGCTAACCCAGAAATATTACCTCGGGTTAAGAACTTTGCTTCAGGATGAGAAAAGAAATTGTGCAGCGGTGGCACAGCGGCAGCGGGAGGCCCCATTAGCTAAAGTGTTACCTCAGGTTAAGAACAGTTTCAGGTTAAGAACGGACCTCCAGAACGAATTAAGTTCTTAACCTGAGGTACCACTGTAGTCTTCCAACATTTTTATACCTGAAACATGCATTCTGGGCCCCGCTCCTGGGTGCCTTTTTGCCATAGGTCTGTATAGTGCTGAAGCAGCTGGTATGACCAACCAAAAGGCAGGCTATGAGTCAACAGTAGATCTTGTTTCACCAGTGGCCTAAATGCCCCAGACACGTTCCTTCCCACAGAGTTGGTGCTACCCATGTGTCTTGTTCCTCTAAGCACTCTCCCAGCCACACATGAGTAGCCTGAGCATAACGGGCACATACCTGGATAAACTTCTGAATAGCACCTTTGCATAATGTCAAACGGCTCTGACATCCTGGAATTCGAGGGCTTTGAGGTTGAAGAATCTAAATCCACCACTTTGGATGAAAGAGCAGAACAATGCAAGTAGAGCTTATCTGGAGCAGGTCAAAGACCCATCTAAGTCCAGCATCTTGTTCTCACACTGGCCAACCAAATGCCTGAAAGGGATATGGGAAGCCTGCAAACCGGACCTGTGCAAAAGTGTACTCTCCCAAATTGTGATCCCTAGCAGCTGCTATGTGGTGGCTCCTGGCTCTCCAACCAGCCACCCCTAGCCACCCCTCACCCAATACTGCAATAGAAGACTACACATGTGGGATAACACTCATCTCACAATTGCACTAAAAAATGATATTGAAATGGGATGTTGCAATCACAGGCTTTCTTTGGATTTCTGAACAGAATTATAGAGTCTTCTGCTGTTATAGTGGTATTACATGACCACCTCTGCCTTTATTTTCTTATATGTAAAACATCATTTACATAGTTGTGCCTGTCTGTTAGGATGTTATATAATCTCTCTTAATCTGTCATTTTATAGGAATTTTAAAGGGCCTAAATATCTTTAAAAAAACAAACCTAGGCATTTCATACAGGAGCATTCAAAACTAGCTGCCATTGGACAGCACATGATTTTTTTAAAAAAATTAAATAAAATCACTGAAAATGACTACAGGTTTTAAAACTGCATATATACCTTTGCTACTGGGGCAAACAACATTAGGAGGTCATGATTTTCATCAGGATAAGAGTAAAAGAGAAAATATTTAACCCCAACCCCAACCACCACCCTACCTGCCACAGTCCTGATCTGGAATGCCACCCTGTCGCAGTTGATATTTGGGGAGATGGGGGGAAGTAAAGAGACAGAGAGCTATTCATATACCTCTGCTTTAAAGTGCAGCTGGAATATAAGAATATCCCTGATAAATCAGGCCAGAGGCCCATCTAGTCCAGCATCCTGTTCTCACAGTGGGAACCCTGCAAGCAGGACCTAGAATCATAGAATCATAAAATTTATAGAGTTGGAAGGGACCACAAGGGTCATTTAGTCCAACCCCCTGCATTGCAGGAACATTTTGCCCAGCATGAGACTTGAACTCATGACCCTGAGATTGAGTCTCATGCTCTACTGACTGAGCTACCCAGTGGTTTTCAGAAACTGGTGTTCAGAAGCCTATCACTTCCATGAGTGGCAGTAAAGCATAGCCAACATGATGAGTAGTCATTGATAGTGTTGCTCTCCATAAGTTTGTCTAACCTTCCCTTAAAGCCATCCAAGTTGGTGGTCATCACTGCCTCTTGTGGGAGCAAATTCCATAGTGGAGTGCTCTTCTGCCACTTGTTCATCTGAAAATTGACACCACCACCCCAAGGAACCTTTTTTTAAAAAGTGGGGTGTCAGCCTGTTACACATATGCATACATGTAATATGTAGTTTGTCCATAAGAGCAGATTTAAGTGTGCAGTGGTTCACATTAGTACACATCCCCCACATACTACGCACAAAAGAAGTCTTGCAAGTCTTGCAAGTTGTACCATAGCTATATGAGAGTTTGACTTGGTTCTTGAAATACAGATGAACAGGATTGCAGGAAGCCATGGGAGCTAAAAACTTTGATCGATAATTGAAACAAATATCAGTCTTTATCTTAACTGCAGGTGAAAGATTACAAAATCCCCTTTCAATGCTGGAGATCCATGTTTTCTGGCAAATGCTGGTGACTCAGAAAAGAAACATAAGATGTTAGAGAAGCTCCCATTTGCATCGGTGCACCTGTTTCTGTATGTAAATAATCACTTCCTCAAGCAGCAAACTTAAGTGGCTCCACGCCAATTCTGGGCCATGGGGAGGGGGCAGGACCACCCGCAAATGAAAAGCAAAGGCTTCCATATACCCAAGGGAATCTCATGATATGTTGAAGTATACTAAATTTTAAAAGAACCCCCACCCCAAAAAGGGAGTCAGATTTGACCAAGAAAGGGGAACTGAGGGCAGTGCAGGTATGCTGTCATAGGACAGAATGAATCACACTTCCACACTATACATTTAAAGCCTTATCACACCACTTTTACATTCATGGCTTCCCCCAAAGAATTCTGGGAGCTGTAGTTTATTAAAGCTACATTTATGTTTAAAGCCATAAACTACTTATGTCCCAAATATCTGAAATGGTGCCTACTTCTCTACAGACTAACCTAGTAATTCAGAACTAAGGGAGAGATCCTTTTCGTTGTTCCACCACACCAGGTTTGGGAGAGGGGCCTTTTTGGTGATGGCCCCAAGAATGCTGTACTTGTTCCCCATAGAGGTGCACCTGGGACCATCTTTATAAAAATTCTCATGGGTTGCTCAAGACACACCTCTTTATTCTGGCCTTTGAAAACAAGCATTGATTTTGGTACCTTCCTTGTAATATGCTGTAAACTTTGAGGTTTTGGGTACATAAATTTTATGAAATAAATAAAAAATGGATATTGATCAGGGGCAGGGTATTGCTGTTTTAATTGTGTTTTTCTCTGCTGTAACCTGCCCTGGGACAATCTGAGGAAGGGCAGGCAATACATACAATAAACAACTATATTAATGAATATAGATCCTTCCACTATAAACACATTCCATCAAACACCTTTTCTGCCCTAATGACTAAGACTAGTTCCAAGTTTTGGGCAGCCCTTTTGATTTTTGGTGATGGAACATTTGCTTCTTTTCCCCATGAGTCCAAATCAGTACCATCTTTGTGGGAGGAGAGATAAAGAAGTTAAGGTCTGTGATGGGGTAGGCAACCTAAGGCCCAGGGGCCAGGGCCCTATCGCCTTCTCAATCTGGCCTGCGGACGGTCCGGGAATCAGCGTGTTTTTACATTAGTAGAATGTGTGCTTTTATGTAAAATGCATCTCTGGGTTATTTGTGGAGCCTGCCTGGTGTTTTTACATGAGTAGAATGTGTGCTTTTATGTAAAATGCATCTCTGGGTTATTTGTAGGGCATAGGAATTCGTTCTTTTTTTCCCCCCTTCAAACTATAGTCCGGCCCACCACATGGCCTAAGGGACGGTGGACCAGCCCATGGCTGAAAAAGGTTGCTGACCCCTGGTCTATGAAGGCTGCTGCTTCCTCTCACTGTTCACTTGTTGGGACAGGAGGGAGGTTCTAGTGTCAAGAGGTTCCAGGGATTCCCAATAGTCTTGCCTACTGACCTATTGGGGTGTGGCCCTCATCAACTGGCCAGTGATGCTGAGCCTAACGCTAGCCCGGAAGAGACATTTTCCTAGCAAGTATTAAAATAAAACCCATTGATACGGAGTTTTCCTTTTCTTTATCCAGACATAATATTTCTGTATTGAGAAAAATTGCAGAGTAAAGTGAGAATAGGATTCAACACACTATGGAGGCACTGATTAATTCTTACTATCTCACACAAAGAAAGACAAGAGGTAAGAATGCTTCACATCATCATATATAGAGAATCAGACCATTGGTCCACCTAGCTTAATAGAGCTACACTGCCAGTACAGTGATTGGAAGCAGATTGCCAAGATTTCAGACAGAAGTCTTTCCTGGTCCTATGTGATGGAAAAGGTAAAAAGGAATACCTGCCCCACACTCCCCAAGGCAGACATTCAAGAGTTTGGGCCCAGGGACTGAATTTAAGAGAGTGAGGAACACCTAAAATTGGAGTGATGTATATTCTTGGGAACTCACCCCCCACACCACCCCAAACCCTGTTTGTGAATTTCTTTGCATAAAAAGCAGTCTGGCATGTGGGTGGGTGGGTGTGGGTGTGGGTGACTGTGGTTTGTTTGGGGGGGGTGCTGTAGGATAAATTCCATGTCAGCCTCTGCCAACCAGGTAGTCTGAGAGATTGACGAAGGTGGTTTCTGTGCAAGCTTGGGACAGTTCCTCTTTGCAGTAATTCTTGCACCAATCATATAGCTAGCTTGCTAGATCTCAACGAAGTTTTAAAAGTAAGTCTGGGGATGAGAGACACTTAAAAGCACCTCAGGCAAACCCGTTTCCTTGCTGAGTCTCAACCACTGCATTCTCCCCCCTCTCCCTTGGGTAAGTGATATTTAGCACCCAGAGTTTCAAAGTCAAAACTTTTGTCGTCTTTAATTGCAAATGAGTCCTGCAAATGGTGCACAGATATCTTTTCATAGCTCCACCAGGCCGCCACCCGCACCAATACCTTGTCAAGCTTAACACTTTCAAGGTCTGGAAAAGTGGCTATCCATTGTTCTCAAGGTCCTTGGGGACAGGGTGTTGCCAAGGCAGATGGGAAATGCACTAACTTGCAGCTTCCCTGGGGCAACTTCTATCCACAGAAGGGAACACACACTCGCACACACAGAAGTAGCAGCAGCAATTCTAAGCTGTCCTCGCCTTGACAACAACACCCCCTCCCCAAGACAGAAAACTGTGCAAACACCACCTGCCCTCGCCCAGGGGGAACTGGTGACCCCCCCAATGGCCCAGGGGGAAACTGGAAGAAGTGGGGGATGTAATTTCTGCCAATACCCTGGGGGCCAAGCGAACTGGGGCCTGTGCTCCAGCACAGTTTAAAGACACACACACACACACCATTCTGATGTTCAGGACAACAGCCTGCAGAGAGCTAAATGTCACTTGGCGACAACCAAGGACAGGAGCCTCCACCCTTCCGCCCCTTCCAATCTTTACTAATGGCCTTCACATCGCTATCTCACCTACCTGAGTTAACATTTCCTTAAGCTACCCCCTGCAGTTGATCCCTTATAAGTTTATTAACATACACTAATAAACAGCACCACTACACTCCCACTGCGCCTGCCAAGTGAAGCCAGTCAGAATGAACTCCGCTGTTCTTTTCCAGCACATTGGCTCTCTCATGTGGGAACAATTAGGGCAAACTCCCTCCAGATTACACATAGTGATAAACCTCACAACTTTTCTTTTTTTTTTTTAAGTTTAAAAAATATCTTAGATGCTTGCGGGGGCACAGTGACGGCAGGGCTGCTAGCAACCCCCTTCTGACAGTTCACAAGAGAGTTGAGACTTGCAACATTCTCAGCCTTCACCTTTGGTACTCAAGTTTTGTACACCGTCCCCCTTTTTCATTGGTGCCTGCATGTACATAAATAGAAAGATGTGTTAACCGCTGCCATTAATGCTATCTATCTCTCCCCCCCCACACACACACACACAATCCTTCCTCTACCTTTATTTTGGAATTAAAGATCGTCATTTCTCACATCAAAGGAACTGGTGGAGAATAAAAGAAAAAGGCAGGAACAATGAAAATAGCTGGCCGACACAAACCAGATCAAAGAAGCAGGCACAGAAAATGAGGAACTCGGGGGTCCTTTAATTACTGTCCACATCCTTCAAGTCATGTGGTGAAGAAGAAGGAGGGGAGGGTGGGGAGGGGGGTAGAAGAAAAAGTTTTGAAGGCCACTGGGTTTTGTCTTGCTGTGGGCTCCCATATTCAGCCTGTAGCAGCTCCCAACACCCCCCGTTTTGCTTATTTCGTTTTTTATTACAAGAGCAAGACAAAAACAAAAGCAGGAATTCCTGCGTTCTCAGAGCTCCTCCCTTATGCCAGGAAGAGGAGGTGGGTGGGTGGGTGGGTGGGTGGGTAGAGGGGGATAAGATGATGGGTAGCGGAGGGTGACTGCACCAGTGATGGAAATAGTTGTCCACAGCAATGGTCTGAAACAATTTCAGGAAGACTGCCCCAGGCAGTGCCTCGGGAGCATCTTTAGGAAGGAGAAATCTGGCTACCTGAGGCTACGCTTTATTTCCAGGCCTCCCGGGTTGGGTAGGGGGGTGAGCAAAAAAGCCCTGTGAATTCACACAGGACAGTGCTCCATGGGGCAGCACATCAAAACTGGCGACTGGCTGTTCAAGCTCAGCAGCAGAAAAAAGGATTGTTCTGGGATAGAGCTTAAGCAAGAAGCATTATTAAACTTCAAACATTGGCCGTTCTCCCCAACCCCGAACCCTCCTGCCCCCACCCTACACACACACACACACACACACATTCTTTTTTTAGGCACGGACAGTTATGGCTAATGTTCTCATACTGACTTAAAACATACATGCGCACACTGCAAATAATTGGCTCTAAACGGCATGCTGGAACGTTTTTCAGCTTTTCTTAAAAAAAGCATTCTAA